TAGAGAGACCACACGCTACCCCGTCGATGCTCGAAAGACAAGGTTCCTTCCGGGGTTTCACTCAATTGAACCAAGCATCACCGTTCAAAAGGCAGCTTAGTTTACGGATTAACGATCTTCCTAGCAATCTTGAACGCACACGCAGTCATAGCCTTGAACCGACGGATTTGTCACGGATGCCATCTGCTATGTCTCACATCGTACCTCTGAAGCCACCAGGTAAAAATTTTTATTGCGATATCTTCGAATCTAGAAATATAATCATGCAGATATGTATTGTAATTTTATTCTATAAAATCGTATATTGATGTTAAACGTATATTATATACAATTACATACAATGTATGGATATAAGTATAAGATGAAATTCAAAACTTTGATAAAATTATGATAAGTTAAACTGAAGGCTTCAATATATTCTCAAGAGAAGGATTAATTTTTAATATCATGTTGCTATATATAAAATATTGTAGCTTATTATTTTATTGTTGCTATGCGCAGTTGGCATGAATTATATCTTTTTATATTGTTAGCAACATTACAAAATAGATTGCTAAATGATTGATTTCATAATATCTATTTTTGTAAAATTCTTTTTTCAAATGCAATGATGGACAAAGGAAATGCGATTATTTTCTTAAATAGAATTTCTATGAATAGAATTTTTTTAAATTTTTCTAATATAAATATATTAAATCAAATTTACGAGGAATAAATTATTAATATTGACAATATTTATCGATATTACATATTTATACATTTAATTATTGAATGTATATTTGTATTCTGAATACAGTAATATCAATTCTCATTTATTTTTTCATAATTGCAATTATATTTTGAAGTCTTCAGTAGTAATCCTATAAAAATATTCCGACAAATTGCTTTCTTCCATGTGCTGCGTGTAACTAAAATATTGAAACATCGAATAATATAATTCTTCATTTTTGCAATAGAATTCGAAGGATATGACGAAGGTCATTATTCCCTATTCTGTTAATTGTCCATATTGCCTGACCCTTCTTTGATGTTTTTGGATGGTGCTCGTTTTCCTCCGTTGTGTTTAAATATACCATTGTATACGATATGTTGTTCGTTTAAATATAGTTCAACGAAGTTGAACGAGTAGAGGAAGTGGAAAAAAAAAAAAAAGTATAACGTTCTACACGACCCTGTAGTACTCTTAAATGTTCTCGTTTTATGAAATATTTTTCTCGCTTCAAATTTTATTTTCTAAAATTGTAGTTTTGTTGAATACATAAAAGAAACTGAATTTTTTGAATTTACAGACTTATATTATTTTACGAAATAGCTAAATCATTTTTTTTTTTCTAGAGCTTTTTCTTTCCAAATTTTTATTAACAAATTATTATCGAAATATAATAACAATTATCATATCGTCAAAAAATTATTTATTCGTCCTAAGATATTCTCTTCTTCTTGATATTTAAATTCTTAACTAATTTTGTGAAATAATATAAGTCTTATTATTTTCGGAAATATTTGTTTTTTAACATCTTGTATCCCGCTGTTAGACACTTAACACGTATTCACGTGTTTGCGGCATGCGTTCTGTAGTTCCAAGCACTGGTTCGAAGCACCAAATTATAGTGTTAGAAATGTTCAATATCTAAAATAAATATTAAAATTCTGTTTCTTTTTTTACAGTTAGTCCAATACCAGAAATATCACCCGGGGGTCAAGATAGCGTTTCAGCGATGTGTCAGCAGCTTTCACAAGGGCTTTCTCTTCTTTCGAGGACCGACGACTTCGGACCAATCTCTACGCAAAGCAGTACAAGCTCTGTGGCTAAACAGCTCTTCACCAGTACCACCGCTAATAATACTCCACCAGGTACATCACGAATCTGAAGTGGTTAGAATTTTTTTAATTCTAACTACTGGATACTACAGGATCAATTCACAAATATTCTTACATTCTCTAATAGATTTCAATTTTCTTTAGTAACAAAAATATATTAGTAACAATAATATATTATATATTATGATATAATTTTTATAAATGTTGTTTGTAATTATTTTGATTAAATGCTAATGATTGACATTCCGTTACAGTGACGAGTAGCAACTTGTTGGACGAATTAAAACTGCAAAATGGTCCAAGTTTGAACAACAATAACAACAACAACAATAACGAAAAGAACGACGATCTCAGTAATCTGAATCACGTTGGACCCAGTTGGCAGGAAGCTCCGTCACCTGTTCTGGCTTCGAATCACAGGCTTACACCAATCTTGAATAAAACCAGCAATCTCAGTCCCATTCTTCCAAGAACGAACGCGCCTACACCGATAGTTATGAGTACCCCCGCACCCAACACCACTGTCAGCGTGTTTGGAACATCAGCCTCGGCCAGTCCAGCCTTCAGCACAGCGTCCACGTCCTCCTTAGGAAATGCACCCACACCGGCTATGAATAGGTCACCGATACCAGTGACTTCAGTGATGACTCCCAAGACCAGCTCACCGACTACTACCAGTATGGCATCCGTCTCACCGGCTCTATCTGGAAAGATTTCTAATAATGTTAGTCAAATTAATCAAACCTCAGTGGCGAATACTATTACTACATCAGCGGTAAGCAGAAATGCTTATTCGTTTAAACTTAATACAATATTATTCGCACCAATTGATGTTATTAATTACATAACATTTATATACTGTTTATATTATCTATACTATATTTTGCTTTTCTATATTTCATTTAAAGAAATCTGTTAATCTTCAATCGATTATTCTCTCTAAGTTTTTTTATAAATTCAAAATTAGTTAAATTACTTTCAATTAGAATTTTTTCATTTTTGCCTTGAATCGATAAAAAATTAACATCAGAGGAAGAAAGAGAGCAGTATATCTTCTTGCATTAGATCTATCAAAGCAAATATAATCTTTTATTTCTCAATTTTGCAAAGTATAAACAATTAAAAATGATGTAAGAACAAATATTACAATATTTTAATTCTCATTTCAGGTTCAATCAGTTTCAACAACAGCCGCATTGCCAAAACCGGAGCAATGGTTGGGCAGTATAACAAGCTCGGTACCACCTTCAGTGCAATCTCCTTCGCAAGGACAAATAAGTCCTCGACGGGCACCACCTCTTCACGCGAGGGCGCTCTCCCTCGGTTCGGCCGCCATGAATCAGGCGACCAGAACCGGTCCTTCGGATCCATTCGACGCGGAATGGGCGGAAATAGCGGCGAGGAATCTGCGACAATCGAGCACCACAAACCCGTTCATAATGCCAAACGCGACCCAAGCATTCCAGGTGCAATTGTAGCGCCAGGAGTTTGTCAACAGCGTGGCCAAGTACTTCCGTTCGAACACATAGTGACGACTCCACGTCCGTTCGCGTTTCGACCTCTCGAATAACCGGAAGTATTACACGTGAACCGCGTTAATCTTGATGGAATCGCGTGGTTTCAAATGAGTAATTCTCCAATGGAGATTCCGGATGATTGGCCACGGTAAAGAGCCGTGTGATGAAGAGGGACCTCCATGAAAAGCGAGGGATGGAGATATCGATCTCGAAGAGATATGTTTAGTAGCAATGATTGATATAGAAGCAAATCAGCACAAAACACGTACCCGTTGTTTCTAGATATTAGTAGATTACGCACACACAGCCTCAATAACCTCGAATGAATACGAGAAGAGTGAGAGGGAATATGAATTTGAAATAATGAAAAAAAAAAAAAAAGAAAATGCTTTCTGGG